TGTGGTCCTTAGTCAAGTCACATGTAAGAAAGAAATCAATGCATACCAAGTGGATATTCAGGGTAAACAATAAGCATGATAGAAGCAAGAGATACATAGCTAGATTGGTGATTAAGCTGTGAAGATGACTATAATCAGATAAGTCTTTAATATTGTAGTTGTATAAGATCTAATCAAGAGCAACTATATGGTAAGACAACGACATCTGCATAGCACACCAGAAGGTTTAGAAGGTTTTCAGATGACTGGTAGGGAAAACTTGGTATGCAAAGTGAAGAAAATTTAATATGGATTAAAGTAGAGACCACAACAATGATACGTGATATTTGACAACTTTATGTAAAGGTTTAATTCATGATACATTATCTTGTTATTAATGTTGCTACCTAAAAAGATTCAATTCCTCATACATTATGCTGATATTATATGTTGATGAGATGTTGGTTGCGAGATCAAATATTAGGAGATTAACATATTGAAGAGGCAGTAGTTTTAGGAATTTGAGATGAATGGAGCAGCTAGACAAATACTTGTCATGAACATTAGTTAGAGGTAGAGTATGAGATAATCTAAAACTTTCCCAGAAGTACCTCAAATGTTAGAGATGTTCAATACAACAAATGCAAAATCCAAAAGTTCACATGTGGGAAGTCTATTAAGCTCCCAAAGAAAAACAATCACCAAAATCAAATAAAGACAAAGAAAGAAATGGCTAGTGTTACTTATGTTTCAAAAAGCAATAAGAAGGAGTCAAATGGCCACTAAGCTACTTAAAAAACACTTTAAGGTTTCCTTGTGTTTCATAAGAAAAACGAAAAAAGGGTTAGCTTTGAAGGATTTCTAAATAGAGACCTAGGTGGTTGTACATATTAATGGATGATCACTACATGTTATGTCTTCATAGTTAGGGGTACAATAATCAGTTGGATGTCAATATTAAAAAAGAGTGTTTGTCTTTCACTATAAAAACGTAGTACATGGGCATTACAATGCAGAAGCTAGCAAATAGATTATTTGATTGAAAATTTTCCTATCATAATTAGGTATGAAACAAGAAGACCATCTCCTTTATTATGACAACCAGAATGTTCATTTACCAAGAGATCTAGTGTTTCACAATAATACAAATTTCTGACTCAAATTTCAAATTTCGAAGAGAAAAAATTATATTCTAAAATTTCAAAAACATATCTAAAATCCAATGAATAAATCTGAAATTTCGAGAAAATGCTTCATTTTTTTTTTGCTTAATACTAACAAAAAGTTAAATAAACATAGTACATCAAAAATTGATACAATACAAAGAAATAAAAATATGGCTAGAAAATCGATGATATTAGACATTTCAAAATAGACAATTATTGGAAATGTGTAGAGAGAGTCTTTGAAAAGTGTTTGGTGCAAATTAGAAAAAAATAAAATACACATTGTATATTTATCGAAATCCAAAATTAGGGGTGAGCATGGTGCGGTTCGGTGCGGTTTTTGGCTAAAACCGAACCGAAAACCGCAACTTCGGTTTTTTGAAGTTTAGAAACCGCACCGTTCGGTTTGTATGGGTTCGGTTTTGCGGTTTTTTATGCAGTTTTTTGCGGTTCGGTTTTTTTTTGCAGTTTTTTGTCAGTTTTGTTATTTGGTTTTTTTTGTCTTTTTACTAAAACTCAGGTAACTCAACGAGTTACTTTGACTCGGATGAAGAGTGTTAATCATTTCTTAAGAAACTTTATATAGAGATGAATCGATACCACCACCTATTGGTTTGAACTCAAATGTCATAACCACTCATCCAACATGTTTCTAATGCTTGAATATAATGCGAATTAAATATAATATTTGTTTCGCCGGTACATGAGATAATATCAATTAATGTATTCATAAAAATGATATTATCATCACTACTACTCTTCATATTTATTTAATAAAAAATATAATAAACATTATTTGTTTTGTAAATATACTATATATATGTTTAAAAATATATAATCATCCTCTTATAACATAGATATTTATATTTATAAAAATTTTAATTGTAATGAGTTCTTCATTCTTACAAATATCAATACTTAATATATATATATATATATATACATATATATATATATATATATATATATATATATATATATATATATTCGGTGCGGTTTGGTTTTTTGCGGTTTTTGCAAGACTAGAAACCGCACCGCACCAAACATTTTCGGTTTTTGTAAAACTAAAAACCACATCGTCGGTTTTCATTTCGGTTTCGGTTTTTCGGTTTCGGTTTATGCGGTTTTTTCGGGTTGCGGTTCGGTTTTTCTCACCCCTATCCAAAATAGTTATTTCATAAATGGTGATTTAATTTTTGAATTACCCAAAAGTTATGTCATTTCCCTCTACGTTTTAAAATCGTGTTGTCAAGTTTGTAAAGCGTTAACGTCATAAGACTCTATATAGTGGAAGAAAGAAAAATGATAATAAGATTAGCTCACTTAACAAGAACCGAATGTGGTCCTTAGTCAAGTCACATGTAAGAAAGAAATCAATGCATACCAAGTGGATATTCAGGGTAAACAATAAGCATGATAGAAGCAAGAGATACATAGCTAGATTGGTGATTAAGCTGTGAAGATGACTATAATGAGATAAGTCTTTAATATTGTAGTTGTATAAGATCTAATCAAGAGCAACTATATGGTAAGACAACGACATCTGCATAGCACACCAGAAGGTTTAGAAGGTTTTCAGATGACTGGTAGGGAAAACTTGGTATGCAAAGTGAAGAAAATTTAATATGGATTAAAGTAGAGACCACAACAATGATACGTGATATTTGACAACTTTATGTAAAGGTTTAATTCATGATACATTATCTTGTTATTAATGTTGCTACCTAAAAAGATTCAATTCCTCATACATTATGCTGATATTATATGTTGATGAGATGTTGGTTGCGAGATCAAATATTAGGAGATTAACATATTGAAGAGGCAGTAGTTTTAGGAATTTGAGATGAATGGAGCAGCTAGACAAATACTTGTCATGAACATTAGTTAGAGGTAGAGTACGAGATAATCTAAAACTTTCCCAGAAGTACCTCAAATGTTAGAGATGTTCAATACAACAAATGCAAAATCCAAAAGTTCACATGTGGGAAGTCTATTAAGCTCCCAAAGAAAAACAATCACCAAAATCAAATAAAGACAAAGAAAGAAATGGCTAGCGTTACTTATGTTTCAAAAAGCAATAAGAAGGAGTCAAATGGCCACTAAGCTACTTAAAAAACACTTTAAGGTTTCCTTGTGTTTCATAAGAAAAACGAAAAAAGGGTTAGCTTTGAAGGATTTCTAAATAGAGACCTAGGTGGTTGTACATATTAATGGATGATCACTACATGTTATGTCTTCATAGTTAGGGGTACAATAATCAGTTGGATGTCAATATTAAAAAAGAGTGTTTGTCTTTCACTATAAAAACGTAGTACATGGGCATTACAATGCAGAAGCTAGCAAATAGATTATTTGATTGAAAATTTTCCTATCATAATTAGGTATGAAACAAGAAGACCATCTCCTTTATTATGACAACCAGAATGTTCATTTACCAAGAGATCTAGTGTTTCACAATAATACAAAAAACATTAAAAAAAGATATAACTTTATCAAGGAGTTGATAAGTGTGACAGATTGTCATTAAGAAAGATCCTAGGTATGAAGAATCTAGTTAGATGTATTTGTACGGTGGTGACAATGTAGAAGTTGAAGCTTTGTCTAGCTTCAACAGGCCTTCAGGTGCTAGACTAGGAAGATGACTTTACATAGTTTTGGGTTTACGAGAAGTACATGCCTTGGAGGATAGTTGGTTTGTTGATCACTCTCCAAATGGAAGAGTATTGAGTTGTAGAGATTGATGAATTTTTTTAGACTTGGCCTACATACAATTTTAGGGTCGAAATCAAAAACCTACTACAAAATCAATACAAAATTTCTCTAATTCACTTGTTGAAATCAAAAACCTACTACAAAATCAATACAAAATTTCTCTAATTCACTTGTTGACATAACACGATTACCCTAATCATGTTAACCACGTAAATCGTGTGTGTTTTTATTCTTCTTTACTTCTTATACTTTTTGTATGTTGATCAAATACGTAACTGTACATATTGATAGCATGGGTGATATATCTTCAACTTTCTCGTCTCTTAGTTCAATGTATATTTGTGCTTCCTTGTATATATATATATATATATATATATATATATATATATTGTTTTCTTCTATATACATTGAAGGCTTCTGCTCATGTTAACCCTCTATATTGATACTCAAAGCAATCATATCTCAATTCTAACAACAACGAAGCTTTATGTGCTCAAAGTCGAATTAAAATTTGAGTTTTCTTGGGGACTGGAACTTGAGGTGTGATTCTTCTTTAAAACTCTGGTTAAAAGGTGTTATGATGCTTGTTTTGTAATTTATCTAGCGACAGAAGATAAAACAATCATGAAATGGTCTTCAGGAATTTCATCATCACGATTCACAAGGAATCCAACTTTTCCAAAATCACATCTTATTATATGGGTCGTGAATTTGAAATGGCTTGAAGATAACGAGTCTTGTGTAGCCATTTTGAATTGTGTCGATATCAATCGAGTGCAAATTTAATAATATTATGAACATCTTAAGACGAAAAATCGAAAAATATAGCATTAAGCTTGATGTAAAACAAAGGTATTCAAAAGTCCAAGAAAAGCTTTTATTGCTAATCACTTTCCACTTTTAAGGTTATTCATATTGCACAGAAAAATAGCATTAAATTAAAACTCGTTGTACTTCTACATGAAACACCAATTATAGATTATAGATGGTACAACATATAAAAATAAATACAAGTGTATATTTGCAGCTAAAATGAAAAAAGCATCAATACACACAAACCTCAAGGCCAATGAGAAGAAGAAGAAGGATCAACAAAATCTCCTCCACTGAAACTCATCTAATAATTCAATTCCATCTAGGGTTTCATTCCCAATCCTCTTCTGCTAATTCACTGTCATTATCTTCTCTTGGTGGCCTAACAACAATAACCACAGTTCCAAGACTTTCTTCAATACCTTTCTCCTTCAATGTCGATCCTCTATCCACCTTCAATTCATCTTCACTCAATACCAGATAAAATCCATCATCAGCTGCCACCTCTTTCCTACTTCGATCAGCCACCACCAAGATAGCTTCCTCCTTGTACCACCTATTAACTCTCCATGGCAAAGCCCTCGCATCAGAAAATGCCACCACTACTCCGCCTCTCTTCAACCCTATCACTGGCTCCCACGCCGGCAACACCACCCATCTCCTCCAGTCTTTCTCAGCCTCCACTATACCAAAATCCCCTTTGCAGCCACTTTCCCATGGCGCATCCTTCACCCCTTCGTCTCTCTCACCCGCTCCACAAACCGGCAAAACTGCAACCACCGTAGCCTCTGCAATCTCCCCCAGATTTAACCTCACTACAGGAACTTTCACTCCATCAACAACGCCTCCATCTCTTCCCTGTCCTTCTCCATCACCATCGTTTCCATCCAATTCCTTTGTCACCCACGCTTTTGCTGGCTCAGACACAGCCACAGACAAAGCCTTTTGCAATACAGATATTTTCGACTCTGTATCCCGATTTTCAAGAGCTTGTCTATAGTACATAAAGGCCAAACAATCAGCCGGAATCGTGTAATCAAAATAATCCCATCCACGATCACCGCGTCGACGGGGGAAATCCTTGATTGCCCTAGCAAGTTCCTGAGCATCACTTGGTTCAAATTTATTTTCAAGCATGTATCTCGCAGCTGCGGCACGCTGGTTCACACTCAACAACCTTATCTCATACAGCAACTCCGCACCACCCTTATCGTAAAACTCGAGGGTTTCCTCATCAACACCAGACTGAACCAAGGACTCCCTAACCTGAGCAGCTACAACGAGTCGATTCTGCTCAACACCACTGATGCCGGTGACTTCTTCGAGGGTGGATGGGGCAAATCCTTCCAGAATCAATGGAGGAATGAGAGGGGCGTATTCGAACCACAGGCCAAGGCGATTTGAAAGAACATCGAGGCGAGCTTCTGTGTCGAGGTTACGATATTGGGGTGGTATTGGAGATTGCGATGTCGGTGGGCGAAAGGGTTGGTAGAGTTTTTGAGACGGTGGCTTAGAGGCGGGGATAAGTGTGGCTGAGATGGGTTTTCGGAAGGGTTTATTGGGTCTGTGGTGGGAAGTGAGAGGAAGCGGGGAGGAAAGGAAGGGTGAATGGAGGAAAGTGGGGGTAGGTTTGGGAGAATTCAGAGCTAAAGAGAGCATGGTGGAAGGTTGAAGAAATGGAGGGAATCGGGGAAACCTTATCCTGTGTGATAGTTACGAAGAAGGTGATCAAGAGGAGATGAATGAAGGGATTTCACAAATAATTTTGAATCGATGCCTTTCTTCATTTACATTCTCCCCCTTCAACTTGTATTCCAACAAGATTTATACCCCCAACTTATTACTAGGACCAAGGCCTTCTTTGTTTACCTCTTAATTGAAAAATTAAGAGATAACCTCTTAAAATTTGAGATATGGCTTGTTTGTTTGCCTCTTATAAATTACATCTGAATTGGATAATAGCCTCTTAAAAAATCAGACTTCATATCACATCTGAAAAATAAAAAAGACGGAAGTGTCATACCCTAAAAACCATGCTCTTCTTTTTTTCTTAGCACACCTCCATTATGTTCTTTCTCATCGAGGCACGCACACAAAATCCTTTCATGCCATTGACGATCTGTTGAAGCTCGTCATTGCCATCGTCGTTGCTGATGTTTTCTCTACCTCCGACGACTGATGCGCCTCCGGCAGCTTTGCCTCCCACGACTTCTGCAGACAATTTCTTCGCCAATATGTTGTTTTTCTCTTGCTATGTGTGGTTTTTCTTGATAAATCTGATGAAGTTGGTCTTCCCTCTTGTTATGTGTGGTTTTTTTCTCTTGCTATGTGCGATTTTTCTTGATAAATCTGATGAAATTGGTCTTCCCTCTTGGTATGTGTTGTTTTCTGCAAATGCTGATATGGGTTGAATTCTAAAATATAAGTTGATGATCTTGTTGTTTTTGTTAATTTCTGAAATATATGTGTGTGTATAGTTGAAATATGTTGCTGATATTTGTTGAGTTTGTGTTTATTTGTTGAACAATATTGTTAAAAATGTGTTCTTTGCTGAAATTGAGTTCATTTGATGAATTCATTTGTTATGGGCTGTTTGTTCATTTTGGTCTTTTTTTTTGAAAATTTTTGGGTTATGATTAACGATTAGTGGGTAAGATGATGGTTTAAGATCATGTTTCCAATTTGACAGGTTTCATCACATGTTTTTAAGGTGTGGTTTCACTGGATATAGAAATAGGAGAAAGGAAGAGAAAACATATTTTCCCAAAATGACCTTTGGTTAAAAGGAAGAAAGGTCGACTTGAGAAAGTTGGAATGGAGTAAGGGAATTGGTGAAAGAAGAAGAAAGTCCATACAATGTTAGAGTTGAAGGAGGTAATGAGAATGAATTGGGGTTCGAATGAAATGGAATTCCACTTGTAAAGAGTTTTTGTTTGTATGTAATTAGATGCATGGCTAGATAGAATTATAGATTTGCATAAAAATTAATAATTAATTATTCATACATTTATGTTTGATTCGGATTGATGTTTAATTTTGATTTATTTAATTTTGATTTTATATTTTTTCTATATAATTATTCAAGAAGTTGATTTGGTTATTTTATAAACAAAAACATTGAATTCAACAAACATAATACAAAAGGGTAAAATGGTCATTTTCATCATTCAACGTTGTTATTCAGAGGTTCCAACCATACAACAGTTCAAAATTCAGATCTTAAAAATTCAGACATTTTTAAAAATTCAGACCTCTTAAAAATTGAGATCCTACCAAACAACCCCTAAGGAGGTGTCTTTACAATTATTTTTTAGATAATGTCACCTAGGATTTTATGAAGTCTCTCATTAATTATTTTTTTAGTAGTATAGAAAAGTAAAGTCCATTTTTACATGTTAACATCCCTTAACTTATTATCATAGGGTTTTTTTTTGTAACCTCAGTATATGTGGCAGCTGACTAGGTGTGTATCGAGCAACTATGATTCTCCATCCTTTAACAAAATCATTTACGACCCACAAAACTAAATCAAAATCCAAGAAAAACACCTTATGAAAGATTCTTCCGTTCAGGAAAGTGAAACAAAGAAAACAAACATCTTTGAATGCATAAGCGAAAATCGAATAATGTGACGAGTGATCGCTACCCTCCTCTTTACGGCGATGTCCTAACTGATTTCTTTGACTAGAGGTGCAAAGGTGGTGTTGTTGCCATCAAAACACAAGATCAATATGATGCGCTATTTTATAGAACTAATCGATACTTGATAAGAAAAGTAAACCGAAAATTGTAAAAACACGAATGAAGATTTTTAGACGAATATTTGAGGAAAAGTTGATTAATATTATTACGGTGAATTCATGTTCGTTGAATGAAAAGGGGTTCGAGACTTTTCCTTATGAAAATTTTGGATTCACTTTAGTTACCCTAATGTTTAAGATATGATAGAAATGCCCCTTAAGTGGCACACAAGTTGGTTGATTAGTGATGTGTTTAGACAGTCTACTAAGATAAACTTATTTAAACACTAAATATAGTTTTAAATTTATAAACCTAACTAATCTAAGCAACTATCAACATTAGGCAGTGTTCCTTATCAATAATAGTATAAATAGAGTAAGTACGTGTGTCGAACATAAAGAGAACAACAATGTACAAATAAAAGAGATCTAAACTAATTAGCAATAAAAATTGGGATTAAATAGAGTTGTTAATCAGGAATTAAATAAGACAGATAATGAAAGGAATTTAATTAATAATAACAAAAAGAGGTATTTTTGCTTAGATTTCGACTTAGTGATGATTATGTTTGATTCATACAAAGTACAATGAAAACTGTGACATTCTCATTTTTACGACTTTTTTAAAACTTTTTGTTTATGTTTATTTAAAACATTTGTTATTGCGGAATTAGTCCAAAAATATCATTGACATGATATATTATCAAAATCAAGGCATTTCAGAAGATTTTATGTTTTAAAAGTCTAGGATGTCATAACTGATACAAGAAACATAAGCATAAACGGAGACTTACAAAATCTCAATATACAAGTTACATTATCTATCAGTTCCTTCATATTGCTACGTGTGATACAAAGAAACTGAGTGGGCCAGGTTGGGAAACCTGGTGAGCACATAAGATTTTCAACCCACAATATTATAATATTTAATTATATATATATATATATATATATATATATATATATATATATATATATATATATATATATATATATATATATATATATTCTTCATCATTCAAATACCCTAACTACCCCATTACCGTTATCATCGCTTGCTAATCCTAGTATGATGATCTCAAAGGATCTTACTTAAAGGACCTTTATCAGCAACCACGTATATTTCCTAGTTAATTTGACACAACAGTATGATAATACTTTGGGTAAACACAGCAACACGGTAGTACCTTAGTACTTTGGATAGTCACGACAGGCACGACAGTATAATAGTACTTTGGTTTAGCACGACAATACAACAGTATTTTGGTTTAGCACGACAGTACAATAGTACTTTGGTTTAACACGGCAGTACAATAGTACTTGAGATAGACACGACATACACGACTTATTATCTCACATGACTTTCACTAACCTATCACAACCACTATCTCACACAACCCTATCATAATCTCTCATTTGTTATTTCGCACAACCGTTCACTACCCAATCATATTATTAATTATAAATATATGATTAAATCAAGAAAAAAAAATCATATTGTACAACTACATTAAACACAACAAAGACAACACACGTCGTAATTAAGCATTTAGAATACTTGTATTTATGTGTAAGTTTGAAATGGACTATACACTCACTTGACTTAGGTGGGTGACTGGAGAATTCGGTAGCGCTCTGCCAAACTCCTTGACTTTTCTTCTAACGTGACCTAGTTACGAATGTCACTAAGTCTTAGCTTAATATTCATGGCGACTAATGATAGTCTATATTCCCTACTAATTCCAATGTATACATCAACATCTATCAAGTAAGAAACAACCAGGTAGGATCATATCGGAAGTAGGGCCCGTTTGGTATACAGAGTATACTGTTTGGAAATTCCACTTTAAACACCTCACTAAATTCAGCCTAGACATCATCCTCATAAGTAGATGAATCAATATAATGACTTGGAATTACTGATAAATCTTAATTATATGTTCATAATAACGACTATGACTATAATTAAAAGTTACACTTAAATAAAATAAGTGTAGCTTAACTTACAGAGCACACTGATGAAAACTAGGAATTAAGTGGACAGAACTCTGACTCAAGAGCTCCTAATCGCCGGCTATCAAACACCGTAGGGCTTCACCGGCTAAAAACTAAGCGAAATTTTGACGAAAAATCAAGAGAAATCGAGAGAGAAACGTAGGAATGGTGTGGGATTGAACTGAAATTCGTCTGCTATTTATAGGGGCATTTTGTCTGCATGTTGTGCACAGATCAGGTGCTCGCAACGCATCTGGTCAGACAAAGGTGACGTGTCATTTCTGCGTGGTGCCACGTGTCGCATTCTGGGTGGAGTGACAGTGCGCGCGAATAATTTATGTTCCCTATTAAGTTCATATTGTAACATCCCAAAATCCAAGACCAAAATTTTCATTTTTAAATTAATAATTCATAAAACAATTTACTGAAAACATCATGAAGTTATCTCATATCATAAAAACCGATAAGTTATATGTCTCAAAACATGTCATAAGATAATAATGTGAGAGTACAAATCCTAAGAACATCATAGTGCGGAAAATCGTGGTGTGATGCGCTGCTATCGTGTCGGCTCCTTCCCCTTCGAAGAAGAAGGACCTGAACCCATCCTAATGTCCTCTCCGAAGATAACCAGTTCTCCCCCACTTGAGGTTCGAACTACCACGCGCTGACCCTCACAATCAATCATAGCACCGAATCGGATAAGCCAATCCATACCCACAATCACGCAAACATCCCCCATGGGGATAGGAATCAGATCGATCGGATAAGGCACCCCGAAGATCTCCAGAACACAACCCTGGTACATTGATGATGCAGAAACCCCGTGTTGGTTGGCAATAGAAACTCGAAACGGACACTCCAACTCCCCAATGGGCATATCAAACTCCCTACTGAACGATCGAGATACAAATGATGGGTTTT